AAGCCTATCCACATCTGATGGACTTTCCTGAGGACATTCTAGCTAGAGCAGGGGTCGGCAACCTTTCAGCAGTGGTGTGCCAAGTCTTCATTTATTCACTCTAATTTAAGGTTTCGTGTGCCAGGAATACATTTTAATGTTTTTAGAAGGTCTCTTTCTAGAAGTCTATAATATATAACTAAACTATTGTTGTATGTAAAGTAAATAAGGTTTTTAAAATGTTTAAGCTTCATTTAAAATTAAGTTAAAATGCAGAGTCCCCCGGACCAGTGGCAAGGACCCGGGCAGTGTGAGTGCCACTGAAAATCCGTGCGCGTGCCTCCTTTGGCACGCGTGCCATAGGTTGCCTACCCCTGAGCTAGAGTATAGGTAATGGCTGCCATGACTCATCAAAGCATGCTAGGGTATGAACTCCATCTTGTGTGCCTGTACTTTTCCACAAACGATGCCAAGGGCTTTGTTTGGGATAATGATATTTCCCTCCACATGGCATAAGCTATAAAAGGTCCTGGAAACATCTCCATTTTGCCTCTTTCCTTCTCACACCTCTGGACTATGGATTTATACTAATGGGAGCATTCTAACCAAGGGACTGAGGACCTTCCAATCATTTTGGGGGCAACCAGAGACTTAACCAGTTAGCAGTTTATGCCATCATTGCTTCAAGCCTGATCCAAGAACTTTGCAAATATTGTATGTATTTGATTCCTTTAACCAATTTTAACTCTCTCACCTCTTTTTTCTTTTTATAAATAAACCTTTAGATATTAGATCCTCAAGGATTGGCTGTAAGCGCATATTTGGGTAAGATGTGAAATATTCATTGACTTGGTGGGTAATGTATTCATTGGGATTGGTAGAACTTTTTATATGATGAACAAGATTTTTATTAATCCTCATCATATTTGACTTGGCTGTCTGGGTCGAAGCCCAAGGCTGGGTTGCTTTAAGGAAACTGTGTTTTTGGCTTCTGGGTAACCAGTAAGGCATTGTGGAAACTGTTTTGTTGCTAGCTTGGTAGATCTAAGTATTGGAATAACCACCAGTTTGGGGGATTGTCTGCCTCATTCTTTGCAGTTTGCCCTAATTTAGCAATCTGTGTGGCTCCCCTGGGACCCCGGTCACAATAAACTTGCTCACATGGGTGTTGTGAGGCTTAAGTCACTAATGTTTATAACATGATTTAAGATCCTCCAATAGAAGGTATTATACAAATGCAAGAATTATTTTAGATCTTGGGGACTTGTAATCAGTGTGTCCCAGACAAACTTCAAAATGTTCAATAAAATCAACATGCTCTATTCACATCCATAATGTATGTGTATGAGCAGCATTGGCAAAGGGGTATTAGAGCATCACGGTACCTATTTTACATTCCCAAATGTATGTGTCCCTTGGCCTGCTCCCCCATGGGCTTGCATATGGTACAGAACAATTTGTGACCATTTTCAGGAAACTTGGCCTTAAGGAGTAAGACTAGTGTTTTCAGGGCAGCCTAAAGAACTTAGGTAACCAAATGGCATTGACTTCCCAACCCTTAGGCTCCTTTGAAAACCCCAGCGGTAGATGTCTTTGTTCGTCATATACCCTAACTACTTTGAGAGGCATGGACTTTAAAAGAGATACACGATCAGCTTTCACTGCTGGAGTCCATTTTGGATGTTGGCTTTATGATTAAAAAATTAGATTCCCATACTCTTTTTTCCCTAAGAAAACCCAATTTTGATTAACAATTCACAGGGACTGGAGAAATTTCCAAGGGAGGGGAGTGTTTTTGATAGAAGTACATCTTTCTGTTCCCTGTATTTAATTCATCCTGGTATGTCTCGTATACTGAGATGTTTGGCGGTTCTCTGTTCAGATGTATTTCTTTCCCACTGATGCGGGATAGTGTTCTCTAGTATTGCTATAATGTCATTATTGCCTTTTAAAAAGTCATCATTTGCCAACAGTTACCTCAGTTTTTATCTGAGACACCACAGATTTCCTTTGTGCTTAGAAGGAGAAATCATTCTGGCAACTGTACGGTATTAGTTGACTTTTTTTTAATGGAAATCACTGTATTTGTTGTTCTGTGTCCAGAGCCTAAGGAATGCCATTAACTTGTTACACTTCTTTCCTGCCAGCTGAATGTAGTACCCTTGTAATGTGCTAGACTGAAAGCACTAGGAAACAATTTCTGTCTATCCACTGAACAGGTACCCTAGAATAAGAGTGTCCATGTGGAGAGTAATACTGGTATTATCACATTTGGTTTAAAGTCACACCTTTGCTTGTACTGATATAACCTTCCTGTGTAAAGAAGCCTATAAAGTCTGAGTGGGTCAGCTACTGTTACTGAAGCTCTGTCAGAATGCAATGGAAACAAATCTCCCAACTGGCTTGTCTTAGAGGCAGGGGAGCAGCTATTCACCTACCCCACCAACTCCCTAATATCAGAATGGTTCTCCTCTAGGCCAGCCAAAGGACTCAGCAACTGGACCTTCCTCTCCACAGCCCTCCTGCTAGGGTATCCATGGAGACAGGCTCTTGAAGCATCAGTTTCCCCCAGAATATGCTGTGATCTCCACGCATGCCTATAGCCCGCCCTGGCACACACGTACTATATAGATTCAGATACAACACCCATAACATTCCTGTGCTGGAGGTGTAACATAATCCCTCAGCCAACATCTATCATTGGCAGAACTGTTTAACTCTGCAAGTTACATATTCAGGAAAACCCAAAAGGGAGGCAGTATGGCCTAGTGGATGGAGCACTGACTGGGCCTCAGAACTCTTGGGTTCTATTCCCAGCTTGGCTACTGGCCTGCTGGGTGACCTGAATAAGCCTTTCACCTCTCTCTGCTTCAGTTTCCCTGTCTGCAAATTGGGGATAATTATCCTGACCTCCTTTGTAAAGTACTTGAAGATCTACTTATGAAAAGCACTGCATAAGAACTAGGTAATAGTAAAATTGCTGCTGACTACATGCTAATGTCACTGTCCTCTCCAGGTTAGAGCTTTACAGGAAAGGACAAAAGGACATTCATAATTATTTAACTCTCCAAAGCTTTAAGAATATCAGCTACAGCCCTTTTTTGTGCTAGGTTTAAATCCGTTGGGAAATACAGGGAACCACCACCAGAGCATACACCATCTGGGCAGGTGTTTTAAGCCTGCGCTGCTGTTTTGTATTCGGAGAGCTTCCCCTGACATAAAAAACAATGATTATCTGAGCTAGTGCAAGGTTTGGGTATAAACCAGGTAGGATTCAGGGGCAGCCTGTGGGAATCCTGCAATTTGCTGAAATGACTGACAATCCTGGCTGGAAACAGGCATGAGTGGGGCTGCTGCCACCCTGAAAGGCATACTCATCTTTTATTTTCAAGGTATATGAAACCTGAAGGGGGCTATGTTCGTAATACAAAAATTGCTGCCCTTCTACAAAATCCATACTGCCTTGACTCCTGTAAACCTTCCCTTCTGACTTCCCCCCTCGTTACTGTATTTCAGTCATTTTCCCAAACCCACAAACACTTACTGTACTGCAGAATATTTCCAAAGTATGGCCAAACCCACCCCCAAATGTCATCAGAATATAAATATTACAGCCACTAATCTGAGCAGCTGAAGACTTATAGACACCTTTTAACACCTTGGGGTAGTTCCTCTGAGGACACGAGGAGGCACATCAATGGCAGACTACATAGGCTTCTTTACACAGGAAGGTTATATCAATACAAGCAAAAGTGTGAATTTAAAGCACTGTGATAATACCAGTATAACTCCCCACATGGACACTCTTATTCCAGGGCACGAGGGCCTTTTTTATAAGTTTAACTTATTTCTCTTTGGAATAAAACTGTCCACACAAGGAGTTATACCATTTTAACTATATCAGTATAAGTATACAAGTACAACTGGTAAAACTTTCCCATGTAGACCAGCTCTAAGCAGGGGGTTCCTCCTGCCTGTAGTAAGAACTCTCTTTCCTCCATCCTAATGGAAATTCAAAAGAATATTGTTATGCTGGAGGGTGTTGGTAGACACCAACCAGCGTGTGTTTGATCTGTGAGCAATCACAGACCTCACTGAAGCCAACACCAAACCCTTTCCCTTAGTCTGAATGAGGGAGCAAATAAATGCTCCTTTGTTTTCTGATAGCTGAAACAATAGAAACTACTGCCCAAACGTGGACCAGCCTAACAAGGCTGGAATAGACGCTGAGCCATGGGGGCTGAGAAGTTTCCATGGCAAATGCAGGAGCTGAAATTGGTTGGATTGCAGCTTTATGTGTGTCTGTGGGAGGGAGAAGCAGAAGGACATCAGGAAATCAGCTAGGAAAGCCAAGAGAGGGCCAGAGAAGCACTGGCAGTGTGGTGATGAGAGGAACAGGAAGCCAAGAGAGAGTACTTCTTTTAGGCAGAATGCTGGCCGCAGCAGGCTTGGAATTGTGAACAAGGATGGAAATTGCCTCCTGTTGTTTGTTCCTACAGTGCATGGGAAAGAGGAATTTGTGTACACTCTTTGGTGCAATCCTGTTTATTTACAAAGAAATACCAGACTTGTATCATCAATTTCTGCTCATAACACAAACAACCCAGAAAGGCCTTGAATATTGGCTAACCACTCAGGCCAAAAGGGACAATAATATTCCCAGCTCTCTACTGTTGGTTGACACACCAGAGCACAGATAGCAGTCAGACTATTCCGGTGTGGTCAGTCAGTGCCACCTGAGGTCACACGCACAGTGCAGAAATGGTATGTGGCTAAGACAGCCATGTCGTGTCTACTAGCCTCCCCTGAAATACAGGAAAGAAGATGGTGGCAAATTTGAGTGCCATGGCATTATTTCCAAACTGCATTCCCTAGTTATGATTAACTCTCTGCTCTTTTGCAAAAATTAAAGAAATTTGAATTTCTACTCCCTGCATCCTCTCAGTATTGCGTCTCTCCTCATTTTCTTACTGCAGAGCACAACCTATTACAGAGAATAAGCTAGTGAAGAGGACAGAAAGGAGAGAGATTTCTGGTCATCGCTTCATGCGATACTGGGACTTTGCCCTGTTTGCTTTGCACTGTGCATTTGACTGGTGCTGCCAGACAGAAGTCAGTGGCTTTTCTTTTTTGCAAACTTTGAGAGAAAACGGGCCCTGGACATTGTGCTGAGCTGACTGACACCAGAAGGTTTGGGCAGTCTCTGGAGGGGAAGCACTAAAACAGGACTGTCCTGTTGAATACTGTGGGGCTGGTAAGTATGTAATGAGATGCAATGGGGAAAGGGTTGGGGAGGATTAATAAGGGATAGACCTGAATTACCCCTACATGTGGACCTTGTATTCTCAGCTAGGTTTGGAGTAGAGTTTGCAGCTCAAACCCCAATCTGTAATGGACGAAAGCCAAAGAACCCAAACTTTGCAGAATTTTGTGTTCCATCTCATTCTCTGTCAATCCTTCCACAATCAGAGATGGGCCCAAGAAATGAAGGATGATCCTGTGCTGACTCAGGAGGTCTAAAATTAACTCCTGGCTGCCTCCACAAGCTTCCTGTGTGACCTGGGGCAAGTCGCTTCATCTCTCTGTCTCAGTTTCCCATCTGTGAAATGGTGATAACAATTAGAGCTGTGCAAAATTTTTTTTTAGAAACCCTTGTTTTGAATCAAACTGACAATGAAATTTTACAGACTGTTTGGTGAATCAAAAATTTGGAAAAAAATTGTTTCTGGTTGAACTAAAAATTTCGATACTGACCATTTTGAATCTTTCTGATTTGTTGTTTAATAACATTAAAGGATTTCTTTTACATGAAAAGTCGTTTCAAATGGAAAAATCAAAATGTTTTGCTTCAAAAACGTTTAAAACCAAATACGATGATTTTTTCAGATTTTTGCTTTTGCTTGTTTTTTTCAATCAGAACAATTTGGCAAAAGTGACACAAATTATCAAAAATGTTTGTGTCACCAGATCCTCATTTTTTTGGCCAGAAAAAAGTTTCAGATGAAAAATTTCACTCCACTCTAATAATAAGTCTTCCTTTCTCCGACCACCTTGTCTGACTTCTCTATTTTAGGGTTACCATTAGTCCGGATTCCCCCGGACATGTCCGG